AAACCTCTCTAATAAGTATAAAATGGAGCAAAGAAAACTTTCATGAAGTTAAGGTAATAGCCACTGTGTTCTCTCTTGCATGGTGCCCCTCCCTCACACTGCAGAGTATACTTCTTCTCCTACATTTATTTGGCTCATACTAACTCTGCAGAGCTTTTTTCCTACCTTTAATAAAATTTTGCTACCATTAAAAAAAAAGTTAAAATGCCAACAGTAAACCGACATGTTCCTAAAATATGATTATTTCATTAAAAAATTCGAACACAGCCGGGGATTTAGCTCAGTGGTTCTGGCGCCTGCCTCCCAAGCACAAGGTCCCGAGTTCAGTCCCTGGTACCAAAAAGAAAAAAAAAAATTCTAATACACACATACATAATCTACTAATTTAGGTGAATAAAAAGTTTCTCAGATAACTAAGTTTCCTGACCCACCATAAAGAAGAAAAAACAAAAAGTAACAGATCTTCTGCTACACAGTCACAGGCTGTCAAGACAGTGTTACAAACTGCACCCAGCTTTCTGAATTCCAAGCTCAGACTGCCTGGACAGCAATTCTGATTTTACGGTTACAATATGACTATGGATAAATTATTTACCCACTCCCTGCATCTGCACCTGTAGAACTGGGAAAGGATTAGAATCTTCTCCACAGAAGCCTGAGGACAAATGAGTTCGCATCTGCAATGGGCCTCAAACACTGCCTGCACACACAGCAATCGCTTCATCATCATTAGCTATGATTTTTAATATCTACTTTAATCTCATTTCCATGCTTATTTGCAAAAATAGTTTTTGGTAATGTAAATAAATGTTACACAAAAAAGTTAGATATTGCTATTTATCAGTTTTCTAGTAAAAAATTAAATTATGAGTAAGTTAAACTACAAATATCGGATTACAAAGTGGCTGCTTAAGATATTTAATTTTACCAAATTCCCTTCAAAATTATACAATGCGACACCCACTCACCGTCTTCATCAACAGTGAGATCCACCACCTCTGCTGCACTCTGCCTCAGGGGCTGTATCACAGTAGAAACCCTACTGCGGCTCCGGGGCTCCTGTGCTCTACCAGTGTGGGAGCCTGAACCTTGACTCCAATGAGATCTGGAGTGTCCAAGGGTTGAACGAGACCTTAAATGATACAAATATTAAACTAGTAGACATAAGTAAACAGCAAACATTCAGTCAACACAGAAATCAGTAAGCTATTTTCACAAAACAACTTCGTGCAAAACTTCTCCAAAGAAATAATAGCAACAGAATTAAAAACTGATTGGCACAATGCCTGACACTCAGTAAACACTGCTCAATGAAGGAAGGCATCACCAACCTACTGACCAAAGAATTTAAGAAATTCGATGTTAGACCAAACATAGTATAAAATACACGATGCTAAGTCAGGTGTGGTAGTGCACACCTGTAATCCCAGCACTTAAAAGGTTGAGGCAGGAGGACTGCTTCAAATTCGAGGCCAGCATGGGCTACATAGTGAGTTCAAGGCCAGTCCGAAGGACATAATGAGACCCTTTCTCAAAAACAAACAAAAAACCCCACAAGATTCTGTTGCAAGAAGGCTGCTCTCTCTTTAATATTTAGTTTGTATATTCATGGAGATTATAATCACTTATTTATACCTTATGGTAATTCCTTAAATTATTCATTATTCATAATAAAGGAATTTAAAAACACACTACACACTATAATGCCCACATTACCTCTTATGCTATCCCAGGATGGTTTTACAAAACATGACTAGGGGATGGGGATTTAGCTCAGTCACCCTGCACCTGCCTCGAAAGTGCAAGGTCCTGAGTTCGACCACCGGGACCACAAAAAAAAAAAAAAGACTGGGAATCCTAAGCAGAGCTAAGCTTCTGGTATGGTCCTATGAGAATACAAAGAACTAAACGGGCACCAGAGAGATTTCCTGAGGTTACCAGAGATGAGGATACTATTGCTAGTTTTAATTTGGTAGCCAAAAGAAACATCACTTTTTTGAGCTCCTTCATGCTGTTAAACCACATGATCATGAAGTATAAACACCTAACATTTAGCATCTTTTTTTATTTTTTTGGTACCAGGGATCAAACTCGGGTCCTTGTGCTTGCGAGGCAAGCGGTGGAACCACTGCGCTAAATCCCCGGCCCATTTATCATCTTTTAAGAGCACAGTATCATACAGTTCTAAGATACTTGCAGAAATATTATTTGAAGGATTCATACTGATCTGGACAGAATATATACAGGGATAGTACAAGAATAGGCAGTCCTAAGACTCCGGGAGGAAAAATAAATCTGTTTTAGAAAGGTGAGATCAATAAAACAAATGCTTCTGCAGTATGTGTCCCTGCTGCTTAAGTAGAACACAGAGCTGCACAACCTCACTGTCTGCATGTGGGGGACGGGAGCAGAAGATGCACAGCTATCGGAGGCTGAGCTTGAGCATCACAAAAGAAGCCTCAAGTTCAAGGTGGGCTGAAAATGTCCTCAGCAAGTACACAACACATAAGTTTAACAAGGCGTTGATACTCTAAAGTGAAATCTCAAGAAGCCAGAGTACTAAGTTTGTGATACAACAAGTACAGGAAGAAATGTGCAGCTTGGACCATCATGGTAAACAAGTATCTCAGGATAAAATGGTTTTGTACAATGAGACAGATGATCATTAAAAAGGCCTTCGAAGGGAAGAGGGGTTGAAGGGTTAGAAGGTGAATGGGAAAGAAAGAAGCAGCAAGATATATCATGTACAGGAACTTAGCTTCCTATAATGAATGTTGTCATTACGTATATATATAAATATGTCCCAATAAAAAATGCCTGTGAAGCCAAGAGTCTGCAATGACAACTGGTACTCTTGTGAAAGCTTCACAGGATGTCCGAACTGCAAATATGGTACTGTATGGAGCACTGGCAAGAAACCTTGATATATGAGGAACACTATCACAGAGGCCTTAGTGGTCACTATTAGTAGCAACTGTGAAACAAATAAGTCTTCCCTTAAATACAAAGAGCCAAAAGCCAGATACACAGTGACAAAGATAAGGCCAGGCTTCTTGGGGCAGGCTTATAATCCCAGCCCTCAGAAGGCTGGTACAGGAGGACTGCTTGAGTTTTAGGCCAGCCTGGGCAACATAGTGAGTTCAAGGCCAGCATGAACTACTACAAAGTGAGACGTGATACTTTTGAAAAAGAGACAGAAAAAAAGGAGAAAGGGAGAGGCAAGGTGAGGGGAGGGGGAGGGGGAGGAGGGAGAGGGAAAGAGAGGAGAGGAGAGAAAAGGAGGGGAGAAAGGGAGAGGGAGGAGGGAAGAGAGGAGAGAGAGGCGGGAGGAGAGGGGAGAAAGGAGGGAGAAGAGAGGAGAGGGGGAAGGAGGGAGAGAGGAGAGGAGGGGAGAGGAGGGGAGAGAGGGGGAGAGAGGGGAGGGGAGAGAGGCGAGAAAGAGGAAGGAGGAAGAGGAAGGGAGGGGGAAGGAGAGAAGAGAGGGAACAGAGAGTGGAGAGTAGAGAAAGAGGAGAGAGGAGAGAGGAGAGAGAGATGAGAGAGATGGGAGACAGTTCAAGACCAGGCTGGACTACACAAGAACTTGCCTCCAGAAAACAAACAAACAAAACAATATATTTAAGTGCTTCATTCTATGCCATTAGAATTGGCACTCCAATGAGAACGTGGCAAGAGGAAAAAAAAGCACATTCTGGGTCCATTTGTAACATGCCTCAAAAACATAAACGTCTTTTTCTTTATAATCAATAATACACATTAACAACCAATGTTCAAACACATTTCTAACTTCATTCTAACACAAAAATTAAGATTGAGATAGATTAATCTGGTGTGACAAAAGTAATGGAGCAACTCTTTAGAGCACTGGTACCAATATATGGTGAGGCTGTTGTGAGCTGGGGTCTCTATGTTGCCAAGGCCAACCATGACCTTGCATCTCCAGCCTCGCCCTCTTGAGTGTCTGGGGTTACAGGTGTGATCTACTGTGCTCAGCACTTCATCGGTCTGCAGCCATCTAAAGCACATATGAATGCGGTGTTAGGGTGTGATGTGGGGTAAGAGGTCAGGGTTATCAAAAAGATTTTGCAAAGGGGCAAAATAATTTCCAGTTACTTATCAAAAAAATGAAGATTTTTCACTCATTTTTAAGTTCAGAACTGACCGACAGCTTTCCCCAACTGTTACAATCTCCACTTCACTGTCAGTTGAGGTAACATTAATTTCTTCATTGGCAGTGACCTGGGGAGTGAAGGAAGCTTCTATCACCACAACGTCTTCATCAATACTTCCTGGAAACAAAAAGGGAAAAACATTTGTTGGCTAATTGCTAGGCAGAAATCTGTATTTTTACTTTGCAGACTATGAAATTTGTACAAAAATAATGAAAGGAGGTGTAGTAATTTCTTTGGGGTAGAGAGATAACCAAAGAAGACTCCATGTGAGAGTTAAAACTGCTATAACTGCAGAAATTTTAAGTGTGACTGTAAAATACAGAAAGGGGAACATAAGCAACTGGTAGCAGATTTTGGGTTTGTTTTGGTTCTTTAAGATAGGGTCTCCATATGTGGCCCAGGCTGGGCTCACACTCACCATCCTTCTGCCTCTGCCTTTGCCTCCCGAGCACCACCAGATGCTTCTGATAGTAACTAGCATACATATGTTGAGTACTTATGGTGCTATGGTTAGTTTATGTGAATATGAGCTTTACAATTAAAATTAGGTCTGAGCTCCAAATGTTGTTTATTATGTGCTTGGCAAGTCTATTAAATTTTCTGAAGCTTCAGTTCTTAATAGGGATGCATATGCATGATTGTACACGTCACAAAGTATGTGCTTACAAATGGAAAATGTACAACTTACGTCGATGAATTTGTTTTCTTATTCTCCATATTCTTATGATGGGAAAAATTCTTATCCCAAACATACCTTGTGAGCTTTTAGCTGACATTTGTATTGCCAGGATGAAAGTACTAAAGACAGAAGTATGATTTTTCAAAGAAGTCTTTCAGGGCTGGGGATTTAGCTCAGTGGTTTCACCGCCTGCTGCGCAAGCGCAAGGACCTGAGTTCGATCTCCAGTACCAAAAAAAAAAAAAGTTCCAAAGAAGTCTTTCAGTGTAAGACTTGTGAAGAATCAAGCAAGAATGGAACATAACTTGTTTTTTAATCACTTTTAAGTTTCACGTTGTTTTGAAACTAGTCTCCAAAGTTTCTGCAAGTTTTCCATCTTGCAAATCTGGTGATCAATAACGTTTACACCTTTCCTTGGACCAGCTCTCCTGGTAAAACCATTCTGTTTGTTTTTAACAACACAGCTAGTTTAGAGACCCGTACAAACAAAACTGCACAGTACTTGTCTTTTTTTGACTACTTCACTCCACATAATATCCAACAAAAAATAAAATATATACATACGTAAAGATCTGGACCCAAAAGTTTCTTGCAGTATATTCCCAATAGCCAAATACTAAAGACAATTCAAGTGTCAACAGCTTGACGAATAAATACAATGTAGTCTAATCACTGACTACTACAAAGGAACTGATAAAACAAATATGTAAATTAATTACTGATCAATGAATGAACCTCAAAAAATTATGCTAAATGAAAGTTAAGACATGAAAGACAATATATTATGATTTCATTTATATGAAATGTCCCCAAAGAAGTAGGTTGCACAGGACTGAGAATAACAGCAGGAACTGAAAGTAAAAGAGCAGGAAGAATCTTCCAGAATTGACAAACTCTAAAACTGTATTGTGATAGTTGCACAGTTCTACATTTACTAAAAAAGTACTCAATTGCACACTTTAATGAATTTCATTGTTAAATAAATTATACAATGAAAGTGGTTTTTATTTATTTATTTATTTTTTAAAAGGGAGACTTACATATGACTTTATTAGTAACTCCTTCAGGTGTGAAGCTGGTACAGTACATCGCTTTATAGGATGGGAAACATTCAAGAGATAAAAAGGTTGAGAAGGGTAAAACTGAGATTTCAGCGTGTGGTCTTTGAAGTGAAGTGAGAGAAAGAAAGGTACTTGTGCTTTTGCTGGTGTATATCAGTAGATAGTCTGTCTTTCATCTCTGTGTTAGTGTTTCTCCTGCCAGTATTATAGATGTATGGTAGACCCATCCTGTCAGAAATACGAACATTTTGGAAAGTATTCATGTAAATCTTTTGTGCCAACAAAAAAGTTCCTTCTTATGTAGTATCTTTACCTCAGTCTTACATTTTGATCCTCTTGAGAAGCTTACAGCTTGTCTTGCAAAAGCCAAATAATGGGGTCATCAAGTCTGACGAAACCTGATGGGGCAGTTTTTTGAACAAAGTAGGAGGTTCCACTGTTAGCTTCTGCCGGGGATGTGGCCTTCAGATAATGTATTCTCAGCCAAGTTTTATGCACTGTGACACTGTCTATATGTTACTTGTACAACTTTGACATGTTTTTGTGTAATCGTTTACCAGACAGCTTTTTCGTGAAAATGCAATTTTTATACTAAAGACATTGTTTATTTGTACTGTAATACATTATATTTGTTATTTATATTTCTTGTAATAGTCTGGATTATTTAGCCCAGTGCATTTAATTATTTGTCTCTATATATATTCTTTGCTTCCTCAAATAGCATATGCAGCAACTGTATCTGTGTAGATGAACTTTGTTAACCATTCTTGGTGGAGATTCTTTGCTAAACCAGTGGGGTAGACTCTGGTCAGTGGTGTTGGTTTTTTGTTTTGTTTTAAGAATGATGGGTGCACAACTGAAAGTGGTTTTTAAAAACCAAAAAACAGCTGGGCATGGTGGCGCAGGCCTATAATCCCGGCACTTGGGGAGGCTGAGAGGCAGGAGGATTGCCATTGAGTTTGAGCCCAGCCTGGGCTACTTAGTAAGTTCAAGGGCAGCCTGAACTACATAGGGAGACCCAGTCTCAAAAAGAAAAAACATAGAACCCTTCACGCAAGGTAAAAAACTAGACCTCAACAGACACATGCCATAGTCTGAAGAAGGAAAACCCCAAATCCCAAAGACACCAATTCTCACTTGTGCCAGTTAATCATCACTGCCAATTTGACTGAATTAAGAGAGTTCTGGCACCAGGCATGGTGGCACATGCCTGGGCTCCCAGCACTAAGGAGGCTGAGGCAGAATGATCACCATGAGTTTCAGCCCAGCCTGGGCTACAAAATGAATTTAAAACCAGCCTGAACTACACTGAGATCCTATCTCAAGGAAAAAAAAAACAACAAAAAAAAGACTGGAGAAATGACTGGATAGGACATGAGAGCACTGACCTCATCATGGACCAACCCACTGCTGAGCTTGAGTCTGAATGGTCCATCAGAAGGCAGAGCTCACTGAAGGAAGTGGGCACAAGGACATGTGGGTGAGACCCTGGGCGACATCTGGTCCCGGCCTCTTTCCCCGGGCTCTCTCCAAGGCACTCTCCCTCACAGGCACCACCAGCCGAGCCTCCACCACATCCTTTACCATGATTTCTTTGCCTTGGAGCCAGCCCACCATGGAATGAAATCTTTAGAACTGTGAACCAAAATAAACCTCTCCTCCCTTAAACTGTGGGTATAAACTGTCAGGTATTCTGCAAGTGACAGAAAGCTGACTAATACATCCCTAAATTAATCTACAATTAAAAATAGCATCATGTGTCTTCCCTACCACAATCCCCACATTCAACTAATTTATTATAAGTTCACTTGGACAAATAAACAAACAATATCCAGGTGAATATTCCAGATTCTATACTACAGTGTTTTCTTCTAATGTAATGAAACACACTAATGGGACAGAATGCAAACTCCCTAAATAGAGCCAAAGGCACACAGAAATTTAACACAAGAAAAAGGTAGTGTTCTCAAATCAACAGGAAAAAGAAAGATGTTAGTGATTGGTTTTAGGACATATGGCAATTACATTAAAAAGAAAATGGATCCAGAGCTAGGAGAATAACTCAGTGATAGAACATGTGCTTGGCACATGCAGGGTCCTAGGTTCAAACCCCAGCACCAAGCAAAATTGGATCAATTCTTCATTGTGCATATGAGGCTAAACACCAAACAAATCTGTGCTCTAAATTTAAAAATTAAATAGTACAAGGGAGAAGGATGAAAACTAGTTGATTCTATTGTGTATTTTTAGACTGAAAAAATTTTTCCTAATTTTGACTCAAAATCCAGAAGCAATACGGACAAAAGTTGGAAAATCTAACTCATCAAAAAAAAAAAAAACCTTTTGAAATGATAAGAAAATATAAGCACAATCAAAGGCTGAATAACAAATATGGAGAAATGTTTATATTACACAGATTCCTATCTCTAACATATGAAAAACTTATAAAATGTATAGAACAATAACAACCAACATTCTGATTTTTAATACAGGCAAATGATAAACAGATCAAGCAGGAAAAGAAATAGAAAATATCTAAAAGGCTTAAAAACAGAAGAAAAGATATATTACACATAAATAAAAATTTTTAAATGTACTGTAATTCCTCACCAATTCGATGGAATAAAAAACCCCTCAAAGCTGACAACATTCTTTGGGAAAGATTTGGGGGACCACCCTCACACATTCGTGGTGGGCATGCACAATGGTTGTCGGTCACCATGGAGAAACTCTGGCTGTCCTTTACACCAAATGACATATGCACTTGCCCTTGACTCAACAATAGCCTCCTAGAATTCTATCCCAAAGGCATTCTAGAAAAAAATATGAAATAACATATGAAAAGTTCTTTTTGCAGTACTGCTTGTAATTGCAAACATCTGCAAAATGTTCAACAGGAGAGTGGTTAAGCAAATTATGATAGGTTAGGGCTGGGGATTTAGCTCAGTGGTTCTGCCACCTGGCCTCGCAAGTGCAAGGATCTGAGTTCAATCCCTGGTACCAAAAAAAACCAAAACAAATTATGATGGGTACTACTAGAAGACCATATCATGATGCTGCTTTTTAAAAAGGACCGCAAGTGTCAATGGATATCTTTCTACAGTTTTATTCCTTTCAAGTATATCTATATATCCAAACATTAGTATATATTAAGTGAAAAAAAGAAAAAGATACTTTTGAGTAAGAGTATGCATACATATTTGCTTATGATTTCTGAAGGAAGAAATACAAAGAACAAACCAAAAGTAAAAACAGTCAGCTATGACTGTATCCTATGATACAGGTACAAAGCTAGAACTCACTGAATGCACCTTGCTTTAAAGTTTGTCTTAGAAAAAAGAAGTTTGACTTTGAAGCCAGATAAATGTTTTACTAATT